GTGGTGTCAGAACTAGGGATAGGCCCCTTCTTCTTGATCTTAGTAATTGGAAGGAGATGGGGGGGGGGAGCAAAACTCGGAAATAATTAGAAATGTTTATTATCTTGTCTCCGAACTCCACTTTCTCTTTTTACGACAATAGTTTTATTTATTTATTATTTTGGTCACAAATTGTTTTTCGAATGTTGATTTAAACCTCTATTGATTATTTCTCTGTATTAAGTGTCATCTTTAGAGATATTTCTCAGTGGTACAGTATAATTAATACTGAAGGAGCAGTATTTCTTTCAATTTGTGTACATACATTTTTGTTGTTCAAAAGTTGGAAATCCTTTTTAAAAATTTTTAAAATTTAACTTTATTAACTTTATTTATCTATTTCTTTTTTTTTTTTTTTTTGAGAGGTTTTTGCTAAAGGGCGCCGGACAGACAGAGAGACAGAAAGCGAGAAATCACTCCCCAGGGGGGATAGCCACACTGCAGTCCCTTCTCCTCCATTCTCCTCTTGGGATTCTGGGCATGCACGCACAGAAGCCTGGCTTGACTTACAAGCCACCAGGTCCGGGACGCGAACCATGATCGACTACTTGGGAGTCCAGCGACATAGCCATTACGCTAACTGCTGGCCCTCTATTTAGTTTTTTAAGTTTACCAGAGAGGGAGAGCGCAAGTGAGAGAGAGAGAGAAAGAAAACAAGCCGCCAGGTCCGGTACTCGAACCATGGTCATCCATGTGGGAGTCCAGGCACCCTTCACCACCATGCCACCTGCCAGCCCCCAAATTGGAAATTCTTTAGTTTGTTCATGATGAGTATGATTGCCAACACTGTTTACAGTAAAAATCTCTTGGTGTTTGTATATATATGTGTGTGTGTATAAATATATATATACATATACACAGACACACACACACACACACACACACACACATATATATATATATATACTAGTTCGAGTCCACACGGAAAATGGAGGAAATAACAAAACGATTTGGGCTATATAAAATGGTCTGAAATATAGCTGATAGCAAAAACGATTTGGGCTATATAAAATGGTCTGAATATTAGTTTATTTTATTTGGTTGTTTAGGCTCTGGATTCCCACATAGCCAACCATAGTTCGAGTCCTTTCAACCTGGTGGCTTGAAAGTCATATTGGGCAAGCATGTACGTGCATGCCCAAAATCCCAAGAGGAAAATGGAGGAGAAGGGATTGTGGTGTGGATAGCAAAAACGATTTGGGCTATATAAAATGGTCTGAATATTAGTTTATTTTATTTGGTTGTTTAGGCTCTGGATTCCCACATAGCCAACCATAGTTCGAGTCCTTTCAACCTGGTGGCTTGAAAGTCATATTGGGCAAGCATGTACGTGCATGCCCAAAATCCCAAGAGGAAAATGGAGGAGAAGGGATTGTGGTGTGGCCATCCCCCTGGGGTGGTGGTGGCGACCTCTCACTTTCCCTGTGTCCCTCTCTCTGGTGAGCACATGTGCTCAAATGAAAAATTGGGGTTTTAAAAAGTAAGATTGATGGCATCGGGTGACTGGATTGTAACTAGCGGAACATGGGTAAGTGGGATATGTCACTCCCAGACCTGCCCGGGAAAACCGATGACCCCGTACACTGCCTGACTGGAGAAGCCCGTGATAAAGATGGCAGGGGCCTGTGTGGAAGCTCTTGACTTCACGAATCACCACGTGGTGGAGAGTTGCCCACTGATAAGGAAAGCCTGTTTGGACTCTGAGAGAGAAGTATCTGTTGGATTAATCAACTCAAGTTTGGAATTTATCTGTTATAACAAGATCATACAAATAAACAAAGGCGCTTGTTCTCATCATTGTAAGTTGACCATACGTGGCCATTAAAGATTGTTAGCGAGCTGGCCTGGGAGCATACTGGTTAAAGGAGCTGGATCCCACGTGGCCAGCTGCAATTCTAATCCTGCCCCCAGCAGTTGAAAAGATGCCAGGTGTATGTGTGTGTGTGCGCGCCCCAAATCCTAGTGAGACATAACCGTATACCCCACTGGGGGTGCTTTTCCCCTCCCTCCCTCTCTTCCTGTTCACTGTCTAGTAAATACTTATTGAATTAAAGTATTTTTTTTAAAACCACCTTATATGTAGGTGATCTTTGGAGCCACATGGAGTGCCTGTCTTTTCTAAGCCCTTTAGAAGCTGTTTATGTTAAATAGTTTTATTGGGAATAGTTCCTATATTGGGACCAACATATGGTGTAATGGTTACATTGCTGGACTCCCACGTAGTCAGCCATGGGTCAAGTCCTGGATCAAGCGGCTTGAATCTCACACTGTGTGTATGTACATGTGTGCCCAAAATCCAGAGAAGAGAATGAAGGAGAAGGAGGCAGACACTTTTTGTCTCTCTATCTCTCTCTGTCTCTCTGCAAGTGCATGCATCCTATAGTTAAAAAAAAAAAACAACTCTCAAAAAAGAGAGAATCCTTCCTATAGAAATTTATTTTGCATTATTGTGACTTCCTCAGGAAATACAGTTTTTGTAAAAAGAATTATCTATTGGGACCAGCAGCTGGCGTAACGGCTGTCAGTGGACTCCCATGTAGTAGACCATGGTTCAAGTCCTGGACCCAGTGGCTTAAACTCACACCGGGCTTGTGTGCATGCGTGCCCAAGATCCTGAGAGGAGAATGGAGGAGAAGGGAATGCGATGTGGCCATCCCCCCTGGGGCGATTTCTCACTTTCTGTCTCTGTCTCTGTCTGGTGAGCACACACGCCCTATAGCAAAAACCTCTCCAAAAAAAAAAAAAAAGTCACATAGCCAGGTCAACAATGGGTGCGCGATCTTAGAAGGTTAACATGAACGATGCGTCCTTCACACTCCCAAGCATTTCCGACGGTTGTAGAACCTCTCGTTCCCGTTCTGCGGACGTCTAGGTTGTTTGCAGCCTCTCACTGTTGCAGTAATACTACCTTTGCTTTGTGGCCTCATCTTCTCTTATGAAGCCTTCCAGGTGCGTCTATGTTGTACAAAGAATTCAGGACCAGTCTGAGTCTGTATTCCGAGTCCTCCCACCCCCACCTTCCTGTCAACACTGGATCTTTTCCATTATAAGTGCTTTAGGAGCCCCACCATGGCAGCACTGTAGCAGGGCCCGCACAGTGCTGGACATCGAGTGGTGATGCCCAGACAACTCTAAACTTACTGAAAATGACTAATTATGCACTTTAAAATGGGAAGTGTTGGCATGTGGCCTCTACCCCAATAAAGCTGTTTTTAAGAAGGGTTGGGGAGGACAACAGGTGGAGTGTTAGACTCCCACATGGCCGACCACGGTTTCAGTCCTAGACCTGTGACTCGAAACTCATGCTGGGCGTGTGTGCATGTGTGCCCAGAATCCCACGAGGAGCATGGAGCAGGGATTGCTGCGTGGCTTCCTACGGGGCATGATTCCTCACGTTCTCTCTCTGTCTTTCCATTGACTGCATGTGCTCCATAGCAACTCCCTCCCAAATTAAAAAAAAGAGTTTGGAGCTTATTTTGGGGTGATTTTCCTCATAAGTCTAACCGTAGACCTACAGAGTTGATTCATTTCATTCTGATATGCTAGGTAAATGAAGTAGAAACTAGATACCGTAATATGCCATATCCTTCATCTTATCCGCCGGGTAAGACAGCAGTTGGAAAGCTAACTTCTCCCTTCCCCCAGGAGCCATGAGCACTCGGCGTATTTATGGGGAGGAATCGCAGTGTGAAGGACGGCGATCGAAGTTAAATGCGTACGTGTATCATTTGCTGTGATTTTAAAATACGCCGTGAAGCTCTTGCTAGCCTGAGTGCAGTGTCCCCACACACAGACTACCACATCAGGAAAGGGCTCAGTTTTTCTCTAATCCCCTTGGTTCTGCAGTGTGCTTTTGTTCTCCTGCCCGAGTCGAGCACCTCGTCCTATGACTGAATAGACACACGTGGGCTTCTGACTGTTCATGTGTTCTTTTTGATTTTCCAGCACTCTCCCTCGGACCCTTGGATGCCCACACTTGAAACCTGCAAGCAACCTTCAGGTCATCGCAGAGCCGTGAGGCCTCTCCTCTGTGCGGGGAAGAGACAGCTCATGTACTGTGGAAATGAACGGGGAGCAGCAGCCTGAAGCAGGTAGAGGCCTTCCCGAGCTGCGCTTCCCCCGGGTGCGGAGCTCTGTTATTCGCCTGCGTTACATTGTCTGGCCTTTCTTTCTACTGCTAGAGTGGGATCTCTTTGAAGCCCTGAGTTGTTTTTTACTACCGTCTTCTGCACCTGGTGGAGGACTCGGCACTAGGGTCTGCTACTAATCCTGTTAGTATAATAATAATGCTTGAGGAAAAAGTAACTTTTATGAAAAGAATCCTCTTGTTTTCATCTTTTATTAATTGCCAGAGGGCACGTGCTCTAGCCAGAGAGGAGCAGGAGAATGCACCTGCTCGCTCCCCTGTGGGTGTGGTCACTCCACCATCCTGTCTCTTCACCTGTTGGGAGTCCAGGTACACCTGCAGACGTGCCCAGCATGCTTTTCAAGCCAGCAGTGCTGGCACTTGAACCACGGTCGGTCATGTGGGATCTTAACCGCCAGGATGGTGGCACCTAGAACTCTTTTTTAAAAATAACATTTTTCTTTTTAATTTGCCATAGGGTGCATGTTCCCACTGGGGAGAGGGAGAAAATGAGGAAGCACCCCCCCACCCTCCCCTCAATGGGGATGGCCACACTGCAGTCCCGTCTCCTCCTTTTTCACATTCTCAGGGGTCTGGGCATTCACACTCACAGGTCCAGGACTCTCACCAGGCATCTGGCCATGTGAGATCCAGCCTCCCCAACCACCATGCCGCTGCTGGCCCTAAAATAATATATATATTTTAGATATTTTTGCCTTAGGGCACATGCACACACCAGAGAGAGAGAGTCAGTGAGAGGGAAAGTGAAAAATCACCACAATCGCTTGTTCTGGTGTCTTGGGCACGGTTGCACACACACCAGGCATCAGTTTCAAGCCACCATGTTGGGGACTTGAACTGTGGTCAGCCATGTGGAAGTCCAAGGATGTACCTGCTATGCCATCTGCTGGCCCCCTAGCAGAGCATTTTAGTGTTTTTTTGTTTTTAATTGCCAGCGGATATGTGTACGCAGCAGAGAGGAATCACGTGCCATTGGGGCATAGTCACGCCACAGTCCTTTTTCCGCCTCTTCTCTATCCTGTTAGGCTTTTGAGCATGCGTGTTTTGTCTGTTTGTTTGTTTCAAAATGCCGAGACTGGACCTCACACTGTGCTTGACCCTGTGGGAGCTGGCGCCCTAGGCCCAGCACTTAACCACTGTGCTACAAGGTTTCCTTTGTTTGTTTGCCTTAGAGCACGTGCGCTTGCCAGGGAGCGTCAGAGAGAAAGAGAGGGAGAGTGAGAAATCGCCCCCACAGGAGACTGCCACACCACAGTCCCGCCTCTTCTACTCCCCTCTTGGAATTTTGGGCAGACACACACACACACACACACACACACACACGCACACACACACACACGCACACAGCACGATTTTCAAGCTACCAGGTGTGGTACTCAAACTGTTCAGTAGACCACGTGATACCTAGCTGCCTTAACCTCCCTACCACCTGCTGGCCCCGAGCTTGGTCTTCTAATGGTTCCTTTTTTTTTTCTTTGTTAGTTCCTTAGGCCTACAGGCCACATGTTTGTGTTTTTCTTTTTTTAATTGTTATTTATTTAATTTTATTCATTCATTCATTTTAATTTGACCAGAGAAAGACACAGAGAGAGAGAGAGAGAGAAAGGGATAAAGGAAGCCACCAGGTCCGGGACTCGAACCGTGGTTGGCTACGTGGGAGTGTCCAGCACCTTAACCACCACGCCACCTGCTGGTCCCTAGGCCACATGTTTCAATCACGTTTTCAGATTGGCTGCTCTCCACGTGAGGGTACGTGCACTCTCTGGAGAGAGACAGAGAAAGCAAGAAAGCACCCCCTCCTCTGCAGCGGAGGGTTGTAATGCTGCCATCCCTTCTCAGTTCCTCCCTCCTGAAAGCAAGCCACCAGGTTCGAGACTCAAACTGTGGTTGGCCACGTGGGAATGTTCAGTGCCTTAACCATCATGCCACCTGCTGGCACTAGCCCCAACTTTTAATGCCATTCACTGCACTTTTTTTTTTTTTTAAGAATTATTTATTACTATTAAGAATAATTTTATACATCATTATTATTTTTTTATTTGACCAGAGATAGAGCAGGGGGCAGTGAGAAAGCAAGCTACCAGGTCCAGAACCTGAACCACGGTCGGCTAAGTGGGATTCCAGCACCTTACCCACCATGCCACCTGCCAACCTATCATTATTATTTTTTTTTTAAAGAGAGATTTTTTGCTATAGGGCACGCTTGCTGGAGAAACTGAGACAGAGAGACAGAAAGAGAGAAAATCACTCCCTGGGGGGATGGCCATGCTGCAATCCCTTCTCCATTCTCCTCTCAGGATTTTGGGCACACACAGCAAACTAATGCACCTGGCATGAGCTTCAAGCCACTGGGTCTGGGACTAAAATCAGAGTCGACTACGTGGGAGTCCAGCAATGTTACTCCATCTGCTGGTTCTTCATTATTGTTGTTATTTTTTTAAATTTGATCAGAGAGACAGAAAGTGAGAAAACAAGCTGCCAGGTTCAGGATTCAAACCATGGTCGGCCTTGCGGGAGTCCAGTGCCTTGAGCACCTCACCACCTGTGCTGGCCCAAACCCCAGGGAACCTTCTAACCAAAATCCAGTAGCTTATCTGGAATAGATGCTTTTTGGTTTGTTCTGTGCCTTTGGTTAATTTCAGAACTTTGAGATGGTTGATTTTCATTACTTAGTCAATATTTTTGCAGCATTTATGTGAGAGTGGCTTCATGGAGGTATTCATTCTGCTGTTTGGGAAGTTGATTTGCTTTCTTTTATGTATTAAGACGTGGATTTCTGGTGTGTGTGTATGTGTGTGCGTGTGTGTGTGGTGAGTTTGAGTCTGTTGCTTTCATCATTAGTTTCATGATCAAATTGACCTGGAGGAGTAAAAGGTCTTTTAGATTGGTTCCTGTGTCCTTTTGATTTGATGTCACCTAAATTTGATGGAGTGTTTACTTTCCACACAGTGAGATTCCCAGGGATCTCTTATATTGGGTCATCGGAAG